TATATATATTTTTTTTTTGTGAGGAAGATCAGCCCTGAGGTAACATCCATGCCAATCCTCCTCTTTTTGCTGAGGAAGACTGGCCCTGGGCTGGCATCCATGCCCATCTTCCTCCACTTTATGTGGGACGCTGCCACAGCATGGCCTGACAAGCGGTGCACTTAACCACTACACCACAGGGCTGGCCCTGACATTGTACATTAATAATTTAAAAAAAATATTGTCAGGCACAGAAATGTAAAATCATCATTTGAATATAAGAAAATGCTATAAAGCAAAGGGTTGTCAAAATAGAGAATAAGAGATATTCTGAAAGAAATGAAAAATCAAGATCATGAAGTAGTGGCAACTATTTCTACTGTATAATAGATACTGAAACACCGTGGGGAAAATGAACAGAACTATTTCCTGAGGTGGTCGTGACAAAGGACAGAGATGGCTTTAAAAATGCAGAGACATAGCGATTAACTTACCACCTCCTTCAAATAAAAGTGAGGATCTCTTGGGAGAATTTAAGCACCTTTAGCAGACATATCTTATGGCAGTTAATGAAATGCTTCGTATTTCAGTGGAAAACTATTTCAGTGGTGAAAATGACTCAGGAATCAGAAGCATATTCTGCTGAGACACTAGGTAATTGACACTCTCCCGAACTGGAAAAGACATTTCATAAGAAGGCATATGAAGTTACTGACTGAATCAAATTTGTTCTAAGAATAATTCATGCCTAGTGAAACCGCTTACCCGCCGCCACAACTCTGGGATCCTCATGGGACTGATGTCTCCCCGCCGCACGACTGTCCGCACTCTCATGCCACCAGAGAACATGAACTGCAGAAATACACAGAGATAGGTTCTAAGATGAGGGCATTCCTTCAAATAAGAAACACAGAAAAATCAGAACAACAAACGTTAGACAACGTTTAACGTTGTCCCTCTTTAAATCAGAATAGTGAGTATCAGAAAAGTAAAACTAAATATGTGAGTAATAATATTTCAGAGGGGTCAGAGATTTCAGAGAGAAATTTATAAATAATGAAACTCGTTTTATAGATGAAGAAGCAGAAGGCTGGAGAGGTGGAGTAAAGTAACACAGATAAAGACACAATCAAGACTAGACCCAGGTTTCATGACTTCCTACTACATTTTAGTTTATTTAAAAATACCCAGATTTAAAAAAAAAATGTTTGCTACTGAAAATTTGGATGATACAAAGAAGAACATAAAAAGTAGCATAATCTTAACCACCCAGAGAAAACTTCTAGTAATATTTAGTGTATTTCCTTTAGAAAATA